GCCTGTTTAGCATTGAAACCGCCACCGCCCCGCCCCGCCCCGCCCCGCCCCGTCAAAAATATGTTTTAAAAAACTATTTATTGACAAATTTTTCATTAAATTTTCATAATGGCTATTTCATTTCATGAGATGAAGAGGCATATTTTAAATCCATAAACATCGTTCCGAAATAGAAAAAAATAAATATATGAAAATGAAAGGCAATTATAATACAGTCACTCATTTTGTGGAACTCACGTATATTTTCGAATAAAACAGTGATTGTAAGTTTTAAGTTCGAGGTTTGGCGGCTCTCTCCCTTCCCCCACTCCATTACAGACACCCCACTCAGGGTTGCCAGATCTTCCAATACGGCAGGAAAAATTGCGATTTTTTGAAAGTTTCTCCAACGACGTTCCGATTTTTCCGATCGCCTTCAGATTTTCTAATTTTTCTCCGGTTTTCGAAGTCTTATTTGGGAATTCAAGTTCTTAGGACATTCTAGAATAGTTTAACCATGACACGATACCACACATATATAGCGATCTATTTCACCATAGTTATCGGGTAGTGAAGCGTCATGAACTCAACAAACCACACTGCAGTGATTTGAAAGCATATCCTTCAATAAAACTATGATGTTTTACAGACAATTAAGATCCAGTGTTCTATCACGATGAACTAACTTTCTCTGTTCCTTTACTATAGTGTTAATTAAGAATATTTTCGTTTCTGAGCTTTTTTTGTTTCATCACAGATATCATAAAACTAATCATAATCGTATGGGTACTAATTTAGCTGTTGCAGAATTGAAAATCGGAATGAGTTCTGTTTATACTTGTGGACATTTTTATGAATATCTGTTACCTCAACCTGATATTTTGAAGAGTATTCGAGCTAATAAAAAAGTATGAACAAAAACGAACATTATACAGAATAAGTCTTAGTTTTCTTTTGCATAAGTTTTGTGAAATGCATGTGTGTGTATGAATTTACAATACTGATTCTATTGTTTCGTCAAGTTGGTTATAGCATTTTTGATAAAAATAATGTGATCCTGTTCAAATTACTTATGTAGATTTCTCAATCATGAGTAAATTGTGTAATCGATATTTTCTTTAATTCTTTATGAAATATCATTTCTGATATTGCTTCGAAAAGATGAACAGAAGCAAGATAAAGGATATTGAAGCTATCAAAAATATATAGACTAGTTATTTAAGCATGGAAAAATACTTTCTGATTTTCTTTCGATTTCGAGAACAAAAATTCCGACTTTCCCAATTTTTAGAAAAATTTTTCTGATTTTTTAATTTTCGATCTGGTAACCCTGACTCCCATCATTACAGACCTCAGCAGCGCATAAAAGGCTCTAGTTTTTATATAATATATCAATGATTTCATACGTATTCGGAAAAAAGGTATTTTACAATTTAAAAATAAGGCATCAGGACAAAAAATTAAAAAAATATATGTGAGTTCCACATTTTAGCTCCTCTGGAGCTGCGCTAACAAGTCTTTTTTTACTGATTAGTTTTGTGAAAAGATTTTAAAATTTTAAAAAGATGTCTCTAAAGGTCTGAGTATATTTAAAAAATCAAGGTTATACAAAGGCGGGGAAACCGCGAAATTTCGTCATGCACCGTCACCGCCCCGCCCCGTCAAGTTTTAGCACCGCCCCGCCGGCGGGACGGGGCGGTTTTACACCGCGGCTCGCTCATCTCTGGTATGATGTATTGTTGTTCATCGGATATGCGTCGATCAATAATCGAACAACATTTAAAAATGATTTATTTAAACGTCTTGATAAAACAAGAAGATTTTTTAAGTGAATTTAATTATTTGGAAACAATTCGTGATATAAATCGTCAATATGATGAAATTTTTTTAACAAATTGTATAATTGATGAAAGAATTTTTTTAGAAAATAAATTTCAATTAACCCTTAAAAGCCGAAGTGGCTTCCGCTTATAAAAATGAGAATCTAATTAGAAAAACAGAGATTATGGACCCTCAGTATACTCGTACTACAGTTAAAAATAATTACCTTCTTCTTATTCTGGACATACACAACCTCATTTGGCAGGAATATCCATCCCTGTAAAAATTCGAAAAAATAGGAATTTCGATCTGAAACTTTGCCTTTAGATAGTTCTGATAATACTTAATATGCTCCGAAATTTTCACTTAGAACGAATGCTTTCTTGCTGAGATATTAGAAATCCAAAAACCAGCTAAATTTTGCTAAAAATTGCTAAAACCTTCAATATTCTGTATCTCGCGAAAGAAACAACAGTTGTTCCTGAAAATTTTGAAACTTCCTAAACACTACTAGGGCTATGTATGAGCCAAGTTTCATGTTAGAAATACATTGTTTTGATTCTTCGATGAGGCTGAATATCTCACCAAAGGAATTTTTTATTGATCACAGCACAATCTGTCAGTAGATCGGTTAAAAGATTCTAGAACGCTGACATCGAATAACTTGGTGATAAGCTTAAGAGTGTAACGTAAAATAAACTACACTGTATGTCGCATCTCCGAATAGATACAACTTTAGGGAAGAAAGGTGTTATTGAAAAAAGTCATCAGACCAAAAAGGTGTTTTGCTACGCCAGGCAGCCACCTGAATACTACATTTTGGTCTAGGTATGGCCTCGAAAGTCATATCAATCAAGAAAAATATTGATTTTTGTCTACAACATTTTTATAAGACTTTGATTACAATTATTTAAATGTCCCTTGGAAGGGACATTCGGCTCTTAAGGGTTAAATGACTTATGTAATTCATTAAATGAATATCGATATTCGAAATCTTCTCAAAACCTAACACCATTAACAGCAAATCAACATATTACATCGAATGATTATTAAACAATTTCTTTTAATCAATATTTAACACCCATATCTCAAGCTAATCAATTAATTAAATTATTATATTCAATTGTTTAACAACAAAAAACAAAACCAACAAATAATCTTATTTCAATTATTGGA